CAGCTCAGCTCTGCCACTGGTAGGAACACAAGGATCCCTCGTGTAGATCAGCTAACCCCATGCCACCAAGCCCCCCTCCCTCCCGCCCCCAGGGCAGGTCGAAATGACAGCCCTATTCCTGTATCTTGTTTGTATTGCCGTAGTGCCTGGAGGAGATCGCACTGGTCCAGAGAGTTGCATAGAGACCTGATGTACATACTGAGCCCAAATGAAAGTGTTTCAGTCCTCTAGAGTGTACCCGGGTGCCCCCAAGGCCCATGAAATGGGGAAGGGTTTGATTAGGTGAGACATGCCCAGCTGATCACAGCAGGCCAACCAGCTGCAGGGGAAGGCGAAACCCCCCCAAGGTCCCTGCTGCTCTGAGCTGGGGGGAAATTCCTTCCCGGCCCCCAGTCTGGTGATCAGTTAGCATGCGAGCGAGGCCCACTGGCCAGGCATTCAAAGAGGATTGTCTGTGCCAGCTCCGGGCACCGGCCCGCCCTGCCCGGTGTCCCGTCTCCGGCTGTGGCAAGCTCTGATACGTGCCAGGAAGGAGCTAACCCCACCACCACAGACGGGGAGCTCAGAGCCAGCCCCTGCCCCCAAGAGATTGCCGTGGTCTTGGCATTTCAGCCAGTTCAGACAACGGCTAGGGTGTGACGCCGTTCAGGGGGAGCAAAGGGGATTGAATAGGAAATGAATCGGTGACGCTGAACATTCAGGAGCCAGAGAAAGGGCACATCAGAGACTCCTGGGCCTTGTAACAGCTTGCTAGCCAGCCACTATAGAATCCAGCATGGGGGTGAAAATGCTAGTGATTGCCACGGGCCTGTAGACTGGCCTTTGGGCCACGTTCTCCGTTGCGCCGTTCCTGCGCTCGCAGCAAGGACAGAGAGGGTACAGAGTATGGTGGTTTTAAATCCCTGAATCCTGGAGACGTGCAGGGCTGGCCTGGCCCCTGGCGTAAATCAGTGCAGCCTCAGGGCTGCTCCTCATGGCCCCCTATAGGTCCTGGGGAAGAGGACAACCCTAGTGCCCCGCAATCCGAACACCCCCCACTGATTTATCCCCATGCCGGGAGTGGGGTTATAGGCCAGCGACACACTGGCCCACTTCAAGGCCTCTTTACGGGGCATAAACGCACCAGAACACAGCAGAGAGCCAGGCCCTGTTTCCCACCATTACTACCGCTGTGTCAGCCCCCCCGTCGGAGAGATGGGGGACTCTGCTGTGCCCAGAAAGCCTTAGAGACCCAGGGCTGTACACGGACCCACAGATGGAGACTGAATATTTCAGCGTCTTTGATTGTCGGGTCCTTCTTCCTGCAGTGGGGACAGGACCGATCGGCTGCTTTGGAAGTGAATCGCTCCAGATCCCCAGCGGGCATCAATTGGCATCGCTCCATCAAAGCAACAGACCTTGGCCGATGTGCACCAGCCAGGCCCCCCGCCTGGTGCATTTCAAGAGGCTGCATGCGCCAGGGCTGTCTGGCTCACAGCGGGGCGAACCATCGGGGTGCAGACCGATGTGCTGGAGATGAGAGAGGGGGTGGCGAGAGCTGAGGAGCACAGCCTGCCGTGTTGACCCAGAGTACGAGAGAAATGAACATCGGGGAGGTGGGGATAGAGGGAAGGAAGGACTCGCCCGGGGTAATCCACCTGCGGGATTCCCAGCTGCAGCAGGTCAAGGAGGCAAACACTAGGCCAGCCTGCATGATTTGCTGGCCAATCATAACACTGTCGGCAGCGCTGTTGTAGCCGTGAGCGAGACGAGGTGAAAGAGACAAGCTTTCCCGCGCCACAGAGCTCTTCTTCAGGGCAGACAGAGCTGTGGCGCTCGCCAGCTTGTCTTTGTCACCGGTAGGAACACTGGCAATTATGCACCAGGCTGAGATGCGCCCAGAGGGACCAGCACCTGCCTTCGGCGCCGGCTGTGCCCATGGGATTGGATGCAGCCAAGAGCTCTGCACAGCGGTGAACGTTGCCCTAGGAGAGGGGTGAGCAGATTCCCTTCTCCTGGGCACTGCCAGAGTCAGGGACGCCAGGAGGATGATTTAGACAAGCTGGAGACCTGGTCCAGGATTCCTGGAGTGCCCTGCTGCTCACCCCAGCCGTCTCAGTCCATCTGCCGTCCTCTGTCAGTGTTCACTCGGTGTGAGGGTGCTACACCGTCATGACACAAAGTGAGTTCCCTTCCTCGGCTCGTGCCGTAATTCTAGCAGAAGACAAGATAGTGCTTGCCTGCCGATTCAGTTGTCTGTATACCTAAGCTTGGAAGGATGAGATTTGGATTGGTAAATGTTGGTAAACGTCAATTTCACCACACCCCACCCAAGGAAAAAAGATTCCCTCCGTGCTCAGCGACATTTACAGAGGCAAACTAAGAAAAAAGCCGCTTGAGAACGTATGAGAGTTTGATTTCTGTTTCCTTTATATCGTTGGACCAGCGATGTTGACAATTTGTGTTTTAACCGTTCTAAATCTCGGTATGGAATCGCAGATATCGACTGTCATGAAATATGTTGATTGTCTGACCTCCCTCCCCCCTCATAATGTTGCACAACCGTGAACATTTAAACTGATCAAAAGCTAACAAACGTCTCCAAAGAAACATGGATATTGTCCATCAAAATGACAAAAATATAATAATCAAATGTTGCCCGGCCTAAACCAACCCCTCAGCATGCCTTACTGGCACGCTCTCATTAAAAGGCCACATTTTCCAATGCTGCTCAGAGCTGGATTCCCCAGGCCTCAGTGCTGGCAATTCGATCTCAGCACCTAACGGGCACCCGACATATGGAGAGCTTCGGAAAATCCATCCCTAGATGGCTGCCGATTTCTTTTCCTCGTGGCATAACATTTGCTGCACGGGGATGAAACTCAGCTTGCCGCGGTGGGAATTCCTGGGATCCGTGCGTTTCCTTGTTTTGAAAAGTGCCTCCCACATTTCAACTGATTCCCTTTGTCGGGTGCCAGCTGCATTTTTGGATTTTTCAGAAACAAGTGCCCACGGCGGGCACAGTACGTTTGTTCGCCCCTTCCCTTAAGGCCTGGGATGTGTATTGTCTTGGCTGGCTGTCTCTCAATTTCACATTAGTCCTGGTGGAAGCAGGAATTGGCTCCGTTGAGTTTCCCTTACTAGCTGTTTAATCAACAGGCACCGATATTGACACGATCTTCATTACCAGCTAATTGTCCAGTGGCCCGCTCTTTCATTCCCTGGTTCGAGACCACGGGAAGGAAGGAAGCTGAGTAGATTTAGAATCATTGCTGGTTCCAGTCCCTTGTGTGTTAATTAATGGGGTCTCCCCAGACAGACTGGTAAGGGCCTGTCTTCATGTCCTTAATTCTAACCTCTCTGACCGCAGGAGCGCAGTCTCCTGAATGGTGACCCTGATCTGTTGCCGTGCTTGGCTCTGCAGACCCCAGTATCTGCTGGGTAGGTGGGCTGGGCCTGCTCCCCCTTCGCCTTCTGTCACACATAGAGTCCTCTGCTGAGGTGGGGTTGGACGGGCCT